TGGGTCTTTTAACAATTACCCATTACAAGCTAACTTTGGGTTTAAGATAACTTAAACAATTAGGCTAACAAGCAAGGACCAATTCAACATGCTAACAAAACCTAGCAATATTGACTAATGCATGTTATTACAAACTTCGACTACAACACACATTACTCTAACAACAGCACGCAAACAGACTTCGACCTCATGCTTAATTTCATACTAGAGTTCGATCCAATATCTCACAAATCTCCACCTTGGATCTAACTCTATAACATCAAGAAACTAGATTTTTTCATGTAGCTTTATCAACTGCATACAGTGGAAAAACTTGCAACTGGGTGACGTCTTGGTGATCATATCAGCAGCATTATGATCTGTCAAAACCTTCAGCACTTGGACTTCTCCACGCTCGATTACCCCCTCTGACGAAATACAGCCTCACATCAATATGCTTGGTTCGCTCATGATAGGCTGAATTCTTCGACAGGTGTATTGCACTTTGACTATCACATTTAACACTGATAACTCGACCTTGAAGTTTCAGCTCGTTTGCAAAACCTTCAAGCCACAATGCTTCATTTACAGCTTCATTTAGGGCGATATATTCCGCTTCAGTGGTAGATAAGACAACGACCTTCTAAAAGTGTTGCTTTCCAACTCATATTTGTCCCAAACATAGTGAACACATATCCAGAATAGATTTTCTGGAATCCATACAACCTGCATAATCAGAGTCAACATATCCTTCGGTTGTTGCTTTACTGTCTTCACCCAAGGATCTACCATAAATTAGGACTCTATTCAGAGACCCATTTATGTACCTTAGAATCCACTTCAATGCTTCCTAGTGAGCCTTTCCAGGATTCGCCATGTACCTGCTTACAAGACTTACTACATATGTTATGTCGGGTCTAGTACAGACCATAGCATACATCAAAGAATCAACTATATTAGCATATGGAATGATATTCATATAAGCTCTTTCGACATCAGTACTGGGAACTGATCTATACTCAGCTTGAATTAAGGGTTTGTCGGAGTCACCACAGACTTTGAATTCGACATACCATACTTTTCGAGAATCTTTTGTAGGTATGCCTCTTGAGATAAGCATAATTTCGACTGTTTTCTATCTCTTCAGATGTCAATCCCAAGAATCCTAGACACAACTCCCAGAGGTCCTTCATGTCAAACTCCTTATTGAGTTCAGATTTCACCCTCATTACATCTTCGACATTGTTTCTTACTATTAGAATATCATCCACATAAAGCAACAAAATAAAAAATGAATTACCAGGTCGAAATCTGAAGTAAACACAGTGGTCGAACTGACTTCTAATGAAACTTATGCGTGCCATGAACTTGTCGAATCTCCTATTCCACTGTCGAGGAGATTGTTTCAGTCCATATAAAGATCTATTCAGTTTGCACACATAGTATTCCTTCCCTTTTTTCGACATACCCTTCAGGTTGCCTCATAAGGATTGTTTCATCTAGATCACCATACAAGAACGCAGTCTTCACATCCATCTGTTCCAGTTCAAGGTTGAACTGTGCCACTGTGGCAAGCAACATTTGAATGGCATATGTGCTTCACAATAGGAGATAACACATCATTTGAAGTCGACACCTTCTTTCTGGGTGAACCCCCTAGCGACTAATCTTGCCTTGTATCTCTTCGATGCCACTTCTTCAATCCCTTTCTTAACTTTGAAAATTAATTTACAGCTGACTAACCTAGCTTTAGCAGGTTTCTTAATCAGTTCTCAGGTGTTGTTATCATGAAGAGATTTCATCTCATCATCCATGGCCTTCAGTTATTCAGTCTTCTTTCGACTCCTCATAACTTCCTTATAGTCACTAGGTTCTTCGTCTAGAACCTCACTTGCAGAGATTAAGGCATAAGCTATAAGATCTGCATACCCAAGTCTCTGAGGTGGCTTAATGAATCTCCTCGACCTGTCTCTTGCTAGCAGGTAGTCATTATCAATCTCCTAATCTTTGACAGCATCTTCTGCATCTTCTTCGACTTCATTTGGGATACGCAATTCAGCGTCAACATGTTCCACCTCAACAAGAATCTCTCCTTGTTCCAGCTCTTCGTTAGCATCATCAATTTTCTTAAAAGTCATCTCTGCTTCATTGAAACTACATCTCGACTGGTGATACACCTCCTGTGACCTGGCTCTAGGCACTATAGCCTATAAGCTTTGACTCCTTCAGGGTATCCCATGAACATGCATTTCAGAGCTCTAGGTTCGACCTTGTCTTGCCTAATATGAGCATAGGCCACGCAGCTAAATACTCTCAGTCTGTCGAGACTAGGTGGATGTCTCGACCAAACTTCTTCAAGTGTCTTCATTCCCAAGGCAGTCGAAGGACATCTATTTATCAGGTAGGCTGCTTTCGAAATAGCTTCTGCCTAAAACACCTTCTTCAATTCAGCACTAACCAACATGGATCTAACCCTTTCAAGGATTGTTCGGTTGAATCTCTCAGCTAAGCCATTTTGTTGAGGAGTACCTGCTACAGTCTTATGCCTTGCAATCACAGACTCAACACAGTAACTATCGAACGCTTCGTTGCAGGTCATTGTCGGTTCTCAACTTCTTAACCTTTCTGCCAGTTTGAGTTTCGACCAGAACCTTCCAACTTTTGAAATTCTCGAAAGTTTCATTCTTCTTCTTATGGATGAATACTCCTAGCTTTCTGGAATAGTCATCAATGACGAATAGAAAATACATTGCGCCTGAGTGTGAAGGATTCCTTGCTGACCCCCAAAGATCAGCATGAATGTAATCCAGGGAACCATGTATTCTTCGCTTGCCTTTGTTAAACTTCACCCTACAGGATTTATCAAATACACAAGATTCACAAAACTCCAACTTTTCAACTTTGTCACCTCCTAGTAGGTTCTGTTTCCCCAATTCGACCAGGCCTCTTTCACTGACATGGCGCAATCTCATGTGCCATAATTCTGTCTTCGACACAGATTTTATGGATGCAACATTTGTCGAACCACTTACAACCTCAACCTCAAGGATATACAAGCCTTGTTTCTTCACTTCACGCCTCTCAAGACTTCCTTTAACCCCTTCATGACCCTTAGGATACTTTTCTCTCCTTGAAAAACATATCCCTTCCTATCGAATTCACCAAGAGAAATCAAATTTCTCTTCAAATCAGGTACATACCTGACTTCCGTCAATAACCTTATTGACTCATCATGGAGCTTGAATCTCACAAATCCAATAGCTGCAATGTTGCAAGATTTGTTGTTTCCTAGCAGCACCGATCCACCATCTTGATCACATAGCTCCTCGAACAATTCTCTGTTTTGAGTCATGTGTCAAGTGCAACCTGAATCCATAATCCACTTTTTTCTTGAGTCGCCACTTGAAACCACAAGAACATCAGATGAGTCGAAGTCATCTTAAACAATGGTTGTGTTGCCATTATCCTTACCTCCATGATCTTTCAGGAGTTCATGGCACACCTTTCTTGTGTGACCCTCCTTCTTACAGTGATAACATCGAATATCAGATGTTTCGCCACTATAAGACTTCTGTTGACTTTTACCTTTCTTCTTGTCGAACTTACCATCCTTTCGTGAGAATTTCCCTTAACGGTCAAACCTTCGCCCACCGTCAAAGGTTTATGCTTCTTTCGTTCGTTTAAGTCCTTAGAATACAAGGTTGATTGAACTTCTTCAAAGCTCGGGGACTCCCTTCCATACAATAGAGTTTCTTTGAAGTGAGCATGTGTTCTGGGCAAAGCACACAACAATAATAGTGTTTGATCTTCATCATCAATCTTCACATCAATATTTTCAAGATCAAAAATCAGCTTGTTGAACATATTCAACTGCTCAGCCAACATTTTGTCTTCACTCATCTTGAATGAATACAAAGTTTGCTTCAGGTAGAGTCGATTCACCAGAGATTTGGTCATGTACAAACTTGCAAGTTTCACCCATAACCCCGATGTTGTGGTCTCCTTTGATACCTATCGAAGAACCTTATCATCAAGGCTCAACAATATTGCATTGTGGGCTTTCTCAATCATGGTCGTCTTTTCTTTTGCTGTTAACGCAGCGTCCATGGTTGCCTCTCCTTTCAATGCTTCCAAACAACCCTGCTAAACCAGTAGGGCTTTCATCTTCAAGCGCCACAGACCGAAGTCATTCACTCCGGTGAACTTTTCAATCTCATACTTTGTTAAAGGCATTTTCTCCACGCTCACCGCACCAATTTGTTGTGAATAGGATGTCTTGAAACAAAATATAAACGGTTTCTTTATAAACAAGAAACATACAAGGATTAAGGTTAACAAAGAAAACAAAGAAAAACAACAAAGATTGGTTATAAACTGTTATTCTTTCCTTTTTCTTTTGGAACAAAATTACAAGTATACAAGAATAACAAATAACATCTCTCACTTAAATTAGAATTTTATGTTCCTATGTTTTATTCAAGTTGAGAGAGTAACGTGTTATTTATAAGAAAACTAACACACTAATCTAATAAATTTTTTAACAATTACCCATTACAAATTAACTTAAAGTACAAGCTAACTTAAACAATTGGGCTTACAAGCAAGACTCAATTCAACATGCTAACAAACTTAGCAATATTGACTAATGCATATTAGAACAAATCTTGACTACAACATACATTACTCTGACAGCAACATGCGAACAGACTTCAACCTCATGTTTAATTCTATACTAGAGTTCTATTCAATATCTCACAGTATAAGCTTCAATTTAGACGCCCAAAATCGAGTTCGGCAAATTTTGAGCGTCTAAATTGAAGTTTATACGGTGAGATATTGAATCAAGTGAATACTAACCATTTAATATCCCTAAAGATTGAGTTATATGTAAAATCAACATTAATTAGCATAAAGTCACAACAGGTCATACGTTTAAAAATTGGTAATCTAGAAACCATGGAATATTTTCTACAACTCACTACATGTTTTGACCAAGGATTATCTCACAGAGAATACATTATTCAAATCTTCATGCTGGCACGGTGATCGTCAGATACAGTCTCTTCAGAAGATGTGTCGCTATCAATAACAATCAAGTCATCTTGTTTTCTTGCATGATGTTCCAGAGACTTGTTCATTTTCAGCATCCCGTATTTTCTACATGAGTAGGTTGACGAGTGAGAAGCATTTGATATGTGTACATCATTTGTCTTCAAAGCACTCGATTGACTTTGAGGCAGAAAGCATGACTTACTACCACTAGCATCAAAGCAATGATCTGCAGACGGATTTGGCTCTCTGGACATTGGAGGAGTATTGATTGCTTCTCTAAGCCAGCGTGGCAAATTATTCTTTGCATTTGAACAATTAAATGGGTAATCATCTGAATAAGAAGTTTCCTTGGAAATACTCAAGCTTCCTGGAGAATTGAAAAATCCCAATTCATACTTATCTATGTTGCTGTTGTAAGAAGTTTTTCTGGAATGAATCATTGTCGCAGGACCGCATGCAGCAGGGTTACTTAGAAATGAATATGCAAGAGATTTCTTCAAGTGGTTGCTTTCCTTATAAGAAAATACATCTTCTCTTGATAGATTAGTCTCCTCTATTGGATTTTGTCTCCAAGGACCTGATTTGGGATCTACGAAGTAAAAGTTTCCTTGCAATGCTGCTTCTGCCGCCGCCCTCTCTGCATTTGGATGCATGAAGTTTGGAACACTAATGTCTTTCAGAAGTTTTGATTGTTCCTCCTCCCACCTCTCGGCAAGGTCCCATGGTTTCCTAAATGGTGAAAACCGCAATCTTGGATCCCTAAGCATAGCATCCCAATTGCCCCTACCGTGCCTTCTCACACCAATCCAGAGAAAATCCAATTCTCTTCAGACCACATTGTAGGGTGTAGCTTGAGATTTTCTTGAAAATTGCCTCTTTCATTTAAAGCTCTTGTTTTGCTTACGATGTTGTCAAGCACTGCCTTGTGCCTGAGAAGCAATGGTTTCCGGTTTGTTGAAGAGTGACATAATCCATCTTGGACAATATCTCTAGTTCCAGCGGTTAAATTAAAAAGAGGCAATGTAGGCAAACAGTTAGAGGAATCACAACCTCCAGTTTCAAGCTCTGTGGGTAGAGACAAACCCAAAGAAAGAGAAACGATTGGCATGTGCTTTAGTTGATTAGTTTTAGTTTGTTGAACATTTGTTCTTTCATCCAACATCATGCAACCACCTGATTGAGATTGAGTAATACTTGAACAGACGTCATCAATAGTCTTTCCATCTGAAATCAGCTGGTTATTAAACAGAGACAGAGAACAGCATATCAATAATGGGAAACAAATCCAATTTAGTAAGTCTTGGTAAACATATTTTCAACTAGAGAAAAATGTATTATCAAGTTGATTTTTCTAAAATATGGAAACTACCATCATTCAAGTCAGATGTAAAAGCGTCATTTTGTACCTTTGTATTGCTAGAGCTTAAAAATTCCAGCTGAGTTACTTGATTTTCGACAATGGCAGATCTACTGCTTGTAGAGTCAGATTTGTCTACAAGAGTTTTCGTCCCCAAGTGAAGGGAATCCTTGTCAGCACCAAGGTTCAATTCAACAGTGTGCTCTTCTGTAACACATGAAAATGTTATAAGAACTATTTGAAGAATGCAAAAATGAGTGTAAAAGCTTTCAAGAAAAATATTTATCGACATCCACAACTTCATAACACATCAGATTTATCGTTTACACGTCAAAGTTTAAATGACCAATAATACCTGCAAAGTTATCATTCACAACTTCATAACAACACATCGGATTTATCATTTGCACGCCAAAGTTTAAATGACAAATAATACCTGCAAAGTTAGGGGGCAGGTCACTACTCTGAGGTTGGTGCCCTCCACTTTTCTTCAGGTCATTGAACATAACATTTTGAATAGCTTCTTTCACAGAGGGTTGGAACTCCTCTAGTTCTCGGTCAGCAGTTGCAGAACCAGGACAGAGATCTCTGGAATCAAGAATGATAGAGATTCCTTGGCAATCCTTATCAAGATGTTGGACTTCCTTGTGCACCAGAGAACTCTGGCTTGGAACTTCTGTTCCAGCCATGTGAGAGTTGGTTTTCGCTGTGTCTTCTCCATGATGCAGGTGCTCTCCCACGTGTGCCATACTATTGAGGACGAATACATTCAAATGCGACTATTATCACTTACCAACTACTTTGATTTTTTATAGATTTATAATATGTACAAAACTTAATTTATTGAGTTTGATGAAAATATACCGGGTTTCAGAAACAACTCCACTAGTACATGGAGCGTCGGCATTTCTCACCTGTCATAAAACAAAAAACTATTGTGATTCATATGAGGTCTATGATCAATTAATTGTTAATGGACAAGTAAATTAGAACTTTGTCATAGATTCACTCTCTTCTTGACTTTGAATCTGATCATGTTTCATGATCGAGATTAGCAGTAGCCCTGCGTAAGTACTTCAATCTATTTTATACACAAACAACCTTACATAAATAAAAAATCCAAAGATAATTTTACAACAAAAGTCAACACTTTTTTTCATGAGGTTCTCTACAGCCAAACTCCGTGTTCCAAAATTTACACTTGCTTGAGCATTGGTAAATAAAGGAGCTGAAACCCTAATTTAGAGTGGAGAATATATTTTGTACCCAACATAAGAGGAAATAATTTAAATCATGTCTTGACGCATTTATTACCAGCCGACACATCTCTAAACCAGCAATGAGGAAAAAGATTTAAATGTTCTCAAGATAAAAAAAAATTAAAACTTGTCATAGAATCCATCTTAAACATATCGCATATCATAATATATGGATCAATGAGAATTTTGAGTAACAAACCATATGGTTTAAAAAAATCACCAGGAAGCCATACCTTTTCTCGAGTCTGATGAAGCTCCCCTCTTTCAGAAAGCTCTGCCGATAGATTAAGGTCTGTTGGAAAAATCCTAGAACAGCTTCTAGAAGATGTATCATCTTGTGTCTGAGTTTGATTAAGGTCAGGTACACTGTTTACAGGACACTCGTCACAAGATGATCCGTTGCTGGAAGAGGGATTAGCATTTGCAAGCATGCTCCACTTGGCTAGAACTGGAATGTTTTCCTTCTCGTGCAATGAATTGCTTTTCTTATCAATTCCATTCATACACTTTTTTCTTTTGTAACATTGATAGGTTATTAATGGTCTGGTCAAGTTGGTCTTTGTTACCTTACATTCAGATTGGTTCCCAAAATTATCTTTGGAGGGTGACTCAGTAAATCTATCTGTTGACTTATTCAAAACAAGAGATTCATCGCCACATGCCGCACTGATTTCTCTTGTAATTGATGCTTCTGAGTTGATTACATTGAAATCATTCCTAGCATTCAATTCAGCTGAGGGTGGAATATTGTTTTTATTAGAACCATTGTCGCATTCAATGCCAGAGTTTTCACCTCCAGAAGAATTTTTCTGCGTGTTGCAATCATTCTGTAAAGGCTTCTTTATTAGGGGTAATTCATCAACATCCTCCTTCGAGTTATCGTCGCATGGATGTCTCGTTGAAGATGATTCCTTCATAGTAACTACCCTCTCTGTTTCATCATGATTTCCAAGCTGCCCTGAAGATGATTCCTTCATAGTAACTACCCTCTCTATTTCATCATGATTTCCAAGCTGCCCTGCTTCCAGGTCACCTGACTTTTGAACCGGAAGTGTTGATGACTCTTCCTGCTGTTTGATGCTTTCAAAGCATGACTTTTTTCCATCACTAGTATCCTATTAAATTAACGAACAGACAAATGAGTAAACACTTCATAATATTATATTCACAAGAGCTTTTTATGTAACAAGCAATTAATCCAATCTAGAAAATAGAAAGAAAAAAAAACCTACTTTATAATAATAGTCGAAGCTTCGAAAGTCATAGGAGTAATATACCTGTCACTTCTAATATACATCAATGAACCTACATAGAGTATTTTGTAAAAACAATTATGTGGTGGACATAAGTTGCATTAGAATCTCACCATTGACTTTTCTTCATGTTTTTCTGATGTCTTCTCATCAGTTAGCTTGTTGTGTTTAACTCGTTTAGCTAAAGAACAATCATGGGAATCTTCACAAACTGAATTTTGGCATCGATTTCTATGGATGAAACTGCCACTTTGAGATTTCCGTTTTCTTTTGTAGGTTTGAAGTACCTTGTTGCCAAACATTTATACTTACCTAGAAAAAAAAAACTCCTTCACTATTTGACGCTACACTTCAAACAATATTGAAAGATTAAAAAAGGAATGCTGAGCCAAACAAAAATAAGTCACAAAGTGCATCAGCTTCAATTACCCTGGGCCTGTGGATAAAAACACCAGAAAACTCGACATTAAGAGTAATAGAAGAAAAAATGGTTCATAAGATTTTAGAATTCTGATAGCATACATATTTAGTCAAAAAAAGCCAATTTGATATCCTTTCTTGTATTGCTTTCCTACTTAACTTGTAAGTTAGTTCAAAAATTTGTAAAAATTGTAAATGGCATCATCAAAGAACAAGTGCAAGAAGAAGAATAAACAAATTTCACAACACGCATTAGAAATATCGATATCTAAATCTCCACTTGAACTTTACATGAGCATATTGTGATGGTATTAAAATCTTAAAACAGTTTCAGTAACAGCAGATTTTCTTCCTAAAACATATACATCAGCAAATATGGAATGACTAGCTAGGCATTCAATTGAACATCATTGCTACCAAAACAAAAAGCTACATTCAATCTAGTAATATCTAATTTCAAGTCTCTGAATAAGGTACAACATCCACAAACTCTATAAATCAGTGATTTTCTCAGATCTTTTTCCTTTTGCAGCCACAATTGAACCATTAAGGGAACACATGAGATTCTTTAACATACAATTCCATATAGAGGCGGAAATTCCTAACCGGAAAAACTTCTAAGCTGCAATTTCATGACCATATTAACCCTAAATCCTAAGCAATACAAACTATACAAACCTAACCAGCATCAATTCATCTCAAAGCACAAGCAAGAAAATGCTTCATTTGAAACAGCAATGGTTGTGAGAGGAAAAAAATGGATTAAAAAAAAACAAGCATAACAAGAAAAACAAAAAAAGAAACAAACTTTACTCATAAATTGAAGCAAGAAACATCTCAGACACAAACCCCAAAATTTGTTTTTACTTTAAACAAAAGAATAAAAAAAGTATCTTCCTTGCAAATAAACCTAACTATACAATGGGTCCATTTGAACAAAAGAATCATTAGTTTTCATTCACAGTTCAAGCATTTTCTACATCACCTAACAAATTTACAAACTTCAAGCTCATGCAGTTAACAAAACAAAAACGAAAACAGTGAAAGCCAAAAAAATTAAATTAAAAGAGTGATAAAAAAAATAAAAATAAAAAGGAGAAAGAACTTACAGAAAATGAAAGAAGAAACACACCCAAGATGAAAGTTCTTGTCTAATGAGGAGCAAGAAACGTTGTTGTGCAGTGTATTTAGATGTTGTTTTCTACTTTTCTTCTTTGCAAAATGCACTGAATAGGAATAGGAATAAGAACAAGGCAAGAAGAACAGGTGCTACACTCAGTGACAGAAACGTTTCTTTTTGGTTGCGTTTTCAGTCTAATAATAATGTACACGTCACTGCCTCGTGTTGTACTGTAGGCCCATCAAGGCTTAAGCCCATTTCAACAACCATATAGACCCACATGGCTTATCTTTGAGTTTATATGGGCCGTGTCTTGAAACCCATATTAAATTCGGGAATTTCTTAATGCATATTTTTGTATTATTATGGCATTATGTAAAAATATAAAAGTACTATTAAAAATTTGGAGTGTATCTCCGGACGCACCCTAAGTTAATAGAAATCTGATTTAATGTGAAAAAAATTACAAAGATGCATCTTCGTAAACACTACAGAGATGCATCTTCAAAATCACAAAATTAAATTGTCTCAAAATCACATCATTCCCCACTTGCTAAAAAATAAATTTTTCTCTAAAACTCTCTCAACATCATATTGTCTCAAAATCAATCAAGCAACATCAAAGTTTTTTCAATCAACATCAACTACATCAAAGAGTTCATTCAACTACATCAACTTCAAAGATTCCTCACTTCTTATAAGTTTTTTTTTAATATAAACTTTTTTGAATTTTTGTATAAATTTGTAGAAATTGATGACTAGGTTTTAAAATACATAGTTTATGCATGTTTGATAGTTGATGCATTAAGATAAATATGTTTCATATTTTAAAGTAATGATCAATGCAATATTTTTGGGGTCTTGGTGGTTTGCATTAGCGCCATTAACGAAAATGAAAGTTATAGGAAAATCCGGAGATGCATCTACGTATTTTATCAGTCTATATTTTTTGCTTTTCTGACTTGTAGGGTTGAGTGCAATAATTATGTGACACTTGTCTAGTTTACTTACAACCATTTTAGCTGATATAGACGACAAATTGAGGCACGACAGAATTGCATAATATGCATCTCTCCAGAGGGAAAAGTGTCGGGTTTCGCATGCTCCTGTTCCCTATAGCCCGGTTGATGCATAGGCGTCAAATTCTAGAGCTCATATATCTCCATGTTCTTCTTCTCGTACGAGACGGATGTCACCTAGGAACGCGTCACTGCCTCCATCTTCCTGTAGGCGATAGATTTCACCTACTCGAGCAGCAAAGGTACCCGAGTCACCGGAGATACCTCAGTCACTAGAGGCACTAGTGCCCCCTAGGCACCGGATGAACCTTAGGATAATAAGGCAGTAGAGGTATTTGAAAAAGGCTCATTCGAGTTGTCATTACTTCCTCTTTAATCGGACCATACTGCTAGACATATCTGGAACGAAGAGGTAAAATTAATCGAATTTATTCTTTTTAAATTACTTTTATTATTATATTGCAAGTTCTTGATAATGATTTATTTTTTTACAAGACCATGATCCGCTGAAATTCATTAACCATGTACGAAATACTATTGGCTTGCGTCAACCTACTGACGAATGATTTTAGACTGCTTTATAGCTATTTGGGATGAAGGACTTATCCAAGACCAGTTATGTTACGGTGAACCACGAGATGCTTAATGCATTTGTAGAGAGATGACATACTGAGACTGTGAGCGGAATACTACTAGCTTGCGTCAACCTACTGACAAGTGGTTTCAGGCTGTTTTTTAGCTATCAGGGATGAAGGACTTATGCAAGACCTAATATGTTACAGTGAACCACGAGATGCTTAATGCATTCGTATAGAGATGACATACTGAGACCTCATCATTTTATCTACCACTTGTGAGATGTCGATCACACTCGACGATGTGTTGTGTCTGCTACATCTTCCAATTAGGGTAAACCTTTTAGATCATGAGAGGATTCGCAAAGATGAGGCACTTCAATTAATGGTAAACTATCTAGGAGTTGGCCCAAGCGTTGCCTTGATAGAGTTTGAAGCCATCAGAGGGGCTCATGCTAAATTTTGATTCTTGAAGAAGGTATACACAAGTGAGGTGATTAGAGTAGTGTAGGATGCTGGTGATAAGGAACATGTGGGGCGGCATAAAGCGTATGCTATGAGAGCATACCTGTTATATTTTGTTAGCACTGTCATTTTTATGAGCAAGAGTGTCATTTATGTGGATGTCCTCTACCTACGAAACTTCGAGGACTTTGAGTGGATCCATGAGTACAACCGAGGGGCTGCTTGTTTGGTCTACTTGTACCCTAAGTTATCCGAGGGATGTAGGTGAAAGATGAAGCAGGTGACAGGAAACATCACACTTTGTACGGTAATATTTATTGGTCTTTTAGTGTTTGTGTGTCATTTTCATTACATTTTTGCAACGCTCTTACTAATAATTTGTGTGTTCCAACACTTTTTAGGCTTGGATCCTCTAGCATTTCTCATGCATCTCTAGTTGGTCGTATGTACCGACCTATATTGAGGATATTGTGTATGCTACTGCATTTGCCCCGCTCAGATGGAACCAGGTGACAAAGTCGTTTCGAGTGTTTCTTGACCGCTTGGTAGCAGAGGATATGCACTTTAAAACCTATGTCGATCATCATAAGACGCGACCATTTGACCACATAGTCTTATACTTGGGATGGTTGGCTTGTAGTTTACGTATGGAATTTCCTCATCTGCCTGAGCGCGCCATGCGGCAGTTTGAGTAAACTCAGACTATTATCAGACACAATGTTATCTCTGCTACTTCCGTTATGACACATATAGATATGGATGTCATGTTTGATGGTTATATTAGTTATCTGGCACCGGAGGAAGCACAAAGTACCATAGCTCAGAGCGACTTAAGCTATGTAGATGGGTACATCAGGTGCTTCTTCAAGGTGTCACATCCATAAATGGTGCAAGCTTCTCCATAAAATTCACCGAGACCAACTCATTAGGATATACTAAAGGAGGAGCATACTAGGTTAGATCATACTTATGATGTGTTGCCTACACTAAGTTATATATATATATATATATATATATATATATATATATATATATATATATATATATATATATATATATATATATATATATATATATATATATATATATATATATATATATATATATATATATATATATATATATATATATATATATATATATATATATATATATATATATATATATATATATATATATATATATATATATATATATATATATATATATATATATATATATATATATATATATATATATATATATATATATTAAAACTTTATAATTGTTCACATGTTTATTCATGTATATATAAATAAATAGTTTTTATAGATATCTCAAATTTTATATTTATTGTTTGTTAAATTGTCCACCAACTTTCTCTCCCACAAAAATTTTTTACTTAAATTTTGGTCTTTGGTAACGAACTATGACGTGACAATGTCATTTGTGTAAATTTAATGACATGGTGAATGATGTAAGATATAGATAACACATGTATTTGGATGAATTGAATTTTGAAATATAAAATTAAAAATTGTATATGAATTAAATGGGAGAAATTTTGATAAACTGAAAAATAAAAATAAAAAGCTCTAAAATGTACATTTGAGCTCAATTTAAGGTGTAGAAGTGTGTTTAGTAGGGTTGTTGGATTGTGTCCAATGCCATTTTAGCTCTTTGCATATATGGTACCATACTATTTCCTGACTTGCCAGACTTCG